AAAACAAAACAAAACAAAACAAAACAAAACAAAACAAAACAAAACAAAAAACCAAATCTCACAAACACAAGGCAAGAGGTTTATTGCTCAGAGTGATGGGAGTCTGAGCTGAGTCCTGAAAGAAAAGACCGGAGATGAGCCAAGGAGGCCACTGAGCCATACTAGGTGAACACAGACAAATGTCTATGGGAGGTGAGATAGCCATGCAACACCCAGACTCTAATGATTTGCCATTCAAAAAGCATCCTGTGTTCCCAAAAGCCCTAGGTTTCTGAGATCCTGACCCCCAGAAGAGTTCCAGGAAAATATAGGTTGGGGCAAAGAGATCATAAAAGACAAATAGTGTGTGTAAGACCTGAACCAGACCCGCTGAGGGAATCTGAGGTCTGGAAGTCCTCTTCTCTGTAAGTACCTCTCTCAAGCTTCACAAAATGGTCTTACTTGCCCGGCGCCTCTCAAGCACAAGTGCAGTGAATGTGACTCTGTAAACTAGCGGGAGTCAAGCCAGTCAATGAGGCCCTTTGCCTTGGCTTTGTTGTTGTTTTCATGCCTCGAACCTGAGAAAATCACACATTGTTGGATTAATTAGATTGCCAGAATGAGGTAGATTGTTCAAGTGGGAACAGTGACCCCAGGGGACATGTTTCAGGGGTGTGCAGACCTGACTATAAACGTTTATGGGAAGGCAATCTCCGCAGCATTGACTAGTGCCCATTGCCAATGGAGCCGCTTTCTCCTCACTTCCCTTGGGTTTTCAAGTCTGTGTCTAAGTGATAATGAAAACTCTCCATCAACAGGCTTCTCTGGGTTCTTGTTGGTGGCATGATGCCAGTGTAATGGGTTTTAATAGATGGTAAGCAGTTTTAGAGGCATCGTGAAAATTACAGCGTACATCCTTCCGGATATGCGGTGTTGTGGGTGGCAGATCCTGCTTCTTGACTAAGGAAGGGACAAGGAGATCTCCATTCAACTCAGGGTACAATATGTTGCCTATACAGAGCAAGCAGAGAAAGGATTTGCAGGGTTACTCTCCTTCCAAAGTGACATGGGGGAAGTGGATGTCATGACTTGCCTTTGCCTGTCTACGGACCCCCACCCTCTGGGTCTCCATTTGTCCATTGCCCAACTTTAGCAGTATTTGTGTGTGCTGTCTTAGCCTCCTGCTTGATTTGAACTTCGCTAGTGCTTTGAGTGTTGGAATAACAGAGGGTAGGCAACAGCTTATTTCTAGGAAAGTTATAGAAGTCAATATTGTGATTTAGGATAGATGGGACCAAATGGACTCTGAAACAGGAGAGTTTCATTCCAGAAACAAATGGGTGGCAGTGTTGTGCTGGTAGATGGGTGACAATCAGCTCTCTGGGGAGAATGCCTGATTTATAACACTTAGCTATTCTGAGTGTTTAAAATTTCCACCATGGTTAATTTTAAGCTACTGTTGTAACATCCCTCATCACAGGAGGGAGGGGGTGTACCTAACCAGAATCTCCTAGAAGACTACCTGGGGAGAGCTGGATACAAAGTCCAAACAAGTGTCCTGGGCAGTCTCCTCTAATGCCCAGGTTCTTTTTCTCTAACAAGGCGGGTGTGAGCATACCTCTCCCAGCAATGGGAGGCTATTAAAGCCTCCTTAGATGTTACAATTATCGCCATTCTGGTCTCCATGGAAACTCTGAAGCCTGGCAACACTAGGCCTGGTGGAGTTGTTTTCTAAATGAATTGCCAAGAGTTAATGATAGGCCATCTTTTCAAATAGACAAGCAGACATTTGTCTGCCTTTAATTACTGGGGTTGCCTGGTGGGTAGCTCCCCCTATGCTTCTGAGACTAGGATGTGTGGAGCTATAAGGGGAAAATGATACTTATGATTTTATGGCTCTCCACCCTTCCCACCCATAGGAGTCACTTACGGGGTTCTAACGCAACTGCTCTGAGCGTTCTCAAGCGAGTCTGAAATGATAATGAGACAGTGAGTAGGCATGGGCCGAGTGAGTGTGCTCACATGTGTGTGCACTCTCAATCACACAGGCATGTGGAGGCCAGAGGTCAGCCTCAGGTGTTGTTTTTAAGCTGCCATCTACCTTGTCTTTGTTCTTTTCTGAGATCTGTCACTGGCCTATAACCTATTCAGCTAAATCTTGGCTGACCAGTGAGTTCTATGGAGTTACTCACTCTCTTCTCCAGTGCTAGGATTATGGGTGCATACCAATGTCCAGTTTGCTTTTAATCTGGGTTCTTGAGGTTGGACTAGGCCTTCGTGCTTACACAGTAAGCACTTTACTGGCTAAGCTTTTTTCTCCTGTCCTTATCTTGGTTTTTGATGAGATTAAGACAATGGCTCCCAATGGACTGGCATGTATACTATAAGAACAGCATCCTATGCTAACTACACTCTTATCAGTGGCACAGAGCACTTTTGTAGTGACCTTGGATAGCTCTTGCTTTCTCAGGACAAAATTGCAGAATGAGGGTAATGAACCACTCAGATAATGGAATCTAGTATCTGAAAACTAAGACTGTATCCCTGTTCAAGTCAGCTCCTAGGATACGATGGACAAGATGTCTAAGACAAGAGGAAGTACTCTCTACCAAATCAGATCCCAGATGTGGAGGTAGGACAGACCAGCCACCATCTTCCTGCTTCCATATTTCCTGGGTTCCCTTACTTATGGCATGCAAATCAGAAGGTGACTTCCTGCTCAGATTTCATGGAATCTAACATTCTCTAAGACCTGTCTATTGAGACCACTTTCATGCTAAGATTGTCAATACACGCAAACATAAGTTTGATGGAAGAGAGACAAAAGCTGAATCCAATCTATCATTCCTAAGACAACTGGTAGGCAGCAAACTTGTTGTTAAGCATGTTCCCATTGAGTTCAGGGCCCGAGGGTATCAGCTGACCATAATGTTGGCACCAGCTGGATAATATTTGGGTTACAGCAGCAAATACTACCAAGGAGAAAAGAGATGCCACAGTAGATCTGGAGCCAGATGGCTACAGACAGCCTCACTTCCAGCATCACTAAAATGTCCCTTGGAGCATGGAGCCCCATGACCAGTAGTTAGCAAACGGGTGGGTATTGTGCCCCACACCTGCCACCAGCACTCTGTGTCTACCATCCTGGCCTACCATCCTCTGGGAGGCCTTTGGTAAGTCTAAGCACTCAAAACACTCTCAGGAAGAAAGGCCAAGGTGTGGCCTATGGTCATCCTTTGGTGACAAATAGGGACAGTCTGACACCTACCCTGGAAGATTCAAGAAGCAGGCCCCAGATCTTGCTCATACATCAGCAGCACAGCAATCACCAGGCAATGGTGGCAGAGTTATTGTCCACCCAGGAGTCCCAGACCACCTCCCTCTGCTCTGGCCACCTCATTCTGAACTCCCCAACAGGAGAGTTGTCCTTCATTCTGACACTGGCAGAATGTTCTGGCTGTGAGAGTCACCTGTGAGGCCCACAGAGTGAATGGAGCGTCTGTTGAAGATCCTGTTCAGAAGCTCCTTGCAGCTCCTGCGGTACTGGTGTCGCAGCAAGGAGTACACGAAGGGGTCAGAAGCAGCCTTGCTGTAGGCCAAGCACTTGGACAGCACACCCCAGTGAGAGCCAATGGGCGCCGTGGAGAAGAGTTCCACCAGCCTGTGGAGAGATGGGGGTGTGTTACTTGGGGGTGCTGTGGGCATGTGTGGGGGGGTATGGTTACATGTCTCTATAATTAATATTGCATGAAAGCAATGAAAGTAACAATGATGGCAATGAGCATTTATTAGGCACTTATTCTAAGTACCATGTCACCTGCACTACTGTAGAGAAGCTGAAAGATGTGACTATCTCATATTCTCAAGCTCCTCATAAGGTCAATCAGCTATAAAGGTGGCATTTAAAACCAGCTCCTATTCTGAACCCCAAGCTTTACGATGAAGTATGTGGATAGCTAATAGCCTTCTGACTTCAGCTCTAATTCAGCTTCTGACCTTGGACGAGTCTTCACACTCCTTGGGCCTGCCTGTATGTCTTATCTGTAGAGTAAGGAAGCTGGATGGGGTTGTTTCTATGATCTTTTAATCCATGAAAACCAGGTTCGGCTCTGCCTCAAACCCAGTTCTTCATTCCTGAGGAGTCTATGTGTGAGGGAGGGCCGAGAAAAAGTTTGGCAAACATTCTGCAGAGTTCCAGACATACCCTGCTCTAGTAGAGCAGCTCCAAGTGAGGAGGGGCTCTTCCTAGGAATAGAGTCTTGGTTGTCTTCGACAATAGCAACAGTTAGGAGACCCGAAAGCGATCTTCATCTACTGAGGGAGGGCAAGAGAAGCTACATCCCATATGTTCAAGAGTTTGGTTCTTAGAGTTCTCCTGGTGGCCATGGAACTCAGGGAGTGGTGCAAACTCCAGGTTTCAAGGGCAGTTAGAGTTCTTGGGTCTCCACTCTTACCTCTAAGCATGATTACTCTCTCCCAAGTGTTCCCAGATCCATTGGCCACACTTAGAGAAGTATCCAGCATTAGCACAAAGTCAAAAAGACCCACAAAGCTTGTAGAGGTCAGAGATCCCAAATTACCTCTCCTCCACCCATTGCCAAATGAGAACGTTGAGATCCAAGAGCAGAAAGATCTCTGCAAGTGCCTGTATTCAGCTAGATTCTGGCAGCCTGTCACCACCTGGGGCATCACTAGGAGAGCAGGCAGTGGTTAGTGGGAGAGTGGCCTGGGAGAGGGCTCAGAGACAAGAGGGAAGGAATGTTTGTAGGGGGATATTTAGAAAATGGCGCCCAGTCCAGTTTGTTCCCAGGCAACCACCATGTTCCCACTGCTCCTTGGCTCTGATCGGCGCTCCGGCTAGCTAGATGCACAGGCCCTATGCTAGATGCACAGCACCCATGAGATGCCAGCATGAGGGATGGCTCTGCTAATTCCCCATGCTGCATCCACAAAGCTCGGCTGAACCCCATAAAATATCTGTCATCCTTGCAGTACGGTAGAAATGAAACTCTTAAAGCTTAATGATTATCTAAAGGATAATATGATTAGACCTGCTCAATCAACAAGATACCCACACAATTAGAGTTGTTACCCAATATCTAACCCTTTGATAGAAGTTGCTACCCACAACAGCTTTTGACCCATCCGTTGTTCTCCATGACTGATAGCCTCCATCTTCTCCTCCCCTTCCTCTGCCTCTCCACTCCCCTTCCTCTCTTTCTCTCCCATCTCCACCTCCTTTTCTACTGCCTAATCACTAAGCTCCACTGTGAATACAATGTAGCAGAATAAGTATCCTGCTACAGGTGTCAGCTGTAACTCTGTTGCCAATTTGGTTAGTTTTCCTAGAGTCTTCTTTGGGTTGAGGTTGTGTGATGGCTCTTCGAGTTGGTGGAAGGAAAGGACAATTGCTGCACGCCATTCCCCACCAAAACTCATGTGTCTTGAATGGATCTCTAGTGAGTCCATTCTGAGGCTGCCATCTTCGCTTCATCATCTCAGCATCACTCTCTGCCCTTTCGCTTTAACCCTGTGAGAACCAGGTTACCATTCTCCTCATTTCATTGCCAGATTCAGTGAGGAGCTGAGGAACTGGAGCTAACTGCATTAAGGAAATACTCACTTTTTACAGATCTATGTTTTAGAAGTGATGAACTAAAAGAGACAAAGCTCCAAATTTAGAATTCACACTCAATAACAATGAAATATCCAAATACTAGCACACTGTTGCCACGTGTCTTAGTTATGGCTTCTATTGTAGCAATGAAACACTACGACCAAAAAGAAAAGTGAGCAGGAAAAGGTTTATACTTCCATATCCCTGTTCAACATTAAAGGAGGTCAGGACATAAACTCAAACAGGGCAGGAACCTGGAGGCAGGAGCTGATGAAGAAAGAGGCCATGGAGAGGTGCTGCTTACTGGATTGATTCCCATGTCTTGCTAAGCTTGCTTTCTCATAGAACTCAGGACAACCTGCCCAAGGATAGCATCACCCACAATGGTCTGGGTCCTCCCTCATCAATCACTAATTAAGAAAATGGCCTTACAGGACTGCCCACAGATGGATGTTTATGGAGGCATTTTCTTTACTGAGGTTGCCTTCTTTCAGATAAGTTAACTTGTGTCAAGTTGACATAAAAGTAGCCAGCACAGCATGTAATGACGACATGTCATGTTGCCCAAATGTCCTGTATTGCTGATTTGCCCTAGCATTGTGGCTTCCCCCAAAAGAAAAGATAGGTGTGTGTGTGTGTGTGTGTGCATGCACCTCTACATTTTATTAGGACAGAAGTGTCCTAATAAAGCCTCAGGCACCTTCCACATTTTACTTAGGGCAGAAGTGTATCTCGTTGGGCTAGAACCTCACCAAGTTGGCTAGGCTAACTGGCCAGCATCTTTGCAGGAATCTGTCTGACTCTCCCACCCATTTTGTCCTTGCTGAGGTTACAGGCATATGCTACTCTACTCAGCTTTTGTTATGGGTTCTGGGGATCTGAACTCATTCTTTATGCTTGCATGGCAAGCACATTGCTGTTTGAGCATTCTGTCCAACCTCCCCATAGGGATTTATTTTTTAAAGACTCAATTATCAAACCATTCAGCAAGATCAAAAGTATTATTTGGAGGCTCTGTAGGATAAAATTATGTCACTTTCTTCCTAAAGACTCTATTTGATGTCTGAACCCCTCTGATAATTTCCGGTTTGTGTCTCCTTTGGACCACGACCTCACCGTGTGCCTTCTTTCATCTCACAATGATCCCGCAGAATGGGTTTCATTCCCATTTTACATATGAGGTCATTGAGGTCCAGAAAGGTAGAGCAGCAACTGAATCTTAGCATTGTAGGGTGACTAGATGAGCTTTGGGCCCCTTTCTGCCCCAAGAGGCCCTTTCCATGAGGTCATGATTTGCTGTGTTAAACCTTTGTCTCTTCTTCTCGCCCACCCCCCACCACAAGAAAAGCTATGAAAAGCTCTGCTTTAAAATCCATGTCTGGCCTTTGGCAGGCCCCATACAAAGAAGAAGTTCAGACGAACACAGACTGGATTGGCTCCACATAATCCTGGCCGCGGAGATGCTAGGATGCCTTCTTGCTGTTTCGGCCTCTCAGTGTGGTACATAGCCCTCATACTGCAATACACCCCAGAAGAACCCCATAGGGATGTAGAGGGGGCCACTAGGCTGCTCTGGTGTTCTGGGGTCCCTGGCTGTAACAACACTGCAATGGAATCAGGTCCCCACCTTGTTCCCAGACCCCATATAAGCCAAGGTAACACTGGAACTTCCCCAGCTTTGGCTCCTCTGGAGCAGTATGGCCCTTTTTACTCCCCAACAAACACATCTCCTGCCATGTGCCCTCACATTCGCTAAGAACAAGAGGATTTACATATGCTCCTTGGGGTGTGAACCAGAAAAAACCTCTACTTGCCCTAAGGCTCCAGTCATAGTGACAGTTATGTTAGTATGCTCCAAATGCATGGAGACAAGTCATGCACACCCTTCTGTTCCCAATCTTACCCCTTCAGGAGAGTCCACGCCAGTCAGCAGGCCAGGGTATAGCAGGATGCATGAGGGGATAAGATACTTTAGGCCACCCTGAGGAAGGCATTGGAGCCCTTTATAGAAGTCTGAATACTGACCTGACCTGTATCTGTGTATGTACCTGTGTTCATGAGTGTGCATGCATGTGTTGTGTGCATGCTATGTGTGCATGTGGTTTATGCATTCACATTGTGTGCATGAGTGTGCATGTATGTGTTATGCACATGTGTGTGTTCTGTGTACCCATGCAACATATGAATATATATGCTTGAGTGCTGTGTGTGCACGTATGACATGTGTTGTGTATATGTATGTATATGTGTATATTTGTCTGTATGTGCATGTATTTGCTATGTGCATGTGTGCACATTGTGTCATGTGGATGTATGCATATGTGTATATGGGGTATGTGTGTACTATGCATATATGCCCATGTGTACCAAATGCTTTTGTATATTATGTAAATGTGTACATGTGTATCTTGTATATGTGCATATGTGGGTCATATGTGCCTTGAGTTGTGTGCATATATGCACTGTGTATACATTTCTGCGTGTGTATGCATGTTTGCCATATAACTGTATGTGTTATGTATATGTATGCCTATGAGTATCATGTGTAGGTCATGTACATCTGCATGTATATGTACCATGTGTATGTCACGTAAATATATGTATCTTGTGTATGTGCGTATATGTTTGTTGAGAAGTACGAAGTGCTTCAATATTCAGACCTTGCTGAATTTGGGAAGGTAGACACATAGAATCAGGGGCACAGACTATACCCCCTGAATTTTGTGTTCTTGCCCATGCCCCTTTGTATAATGGACTTCTCAGAACCATGGGTCTCTTTTGATATGGAGTCTCAGTGATGATGATTGCTGGAAGGCATCTGAAGTGGCTGCCACAGAAAAGGGCTGACAAGACAGGAAGCTGACCACCCTTGCCCTTACCCATAGAGGATTCTCATACTACCCAGCAGTCTGAGCCACCATGCTCCCTGGAAGAGGAGGAAGAGGAGGTACACTTGTCTGAATTCTGAGGAATTCTCAACACCAGCTCAGCACCCTGGGGCTCAGCACCTCACTGCTTTACAGACAGCACCTCCGGCTCCCCAC